TACCAAGAGAAGGATAAAGGCTACTCGAGCCGCTATGCTGATGATGATCGCGGTGTGTCATCAATTAGCAATTGTACAGTGTTTTCGTTGGACTAACATGTGAATGATAAGGTAACGAAAGCGACGAATCGGAGTCGGAAGAGGAAGCGCGTTCAAAGCGACGAACGTCCTCGTCAAAACAAAATACAGCTGCAAAGAAAAAAGAGGTATGATGTGTAATGGGTATTTTTTGTTTGGATAGGTGCTAAATTGTGATGTTATCAGGAGCCGGAACCAAAAACCAAGCCCGCAGCTAGTATACCTTCTGCAGAGCCATCTCTTTTAGACAGTGACTTTTTTATCGCCGCTCCTGCTGTCGGTACGCTTTCGTCTTTGTGCTCGCTTAAACTACATTTTTAGTGGTGACTTACGGTCACATACCTCTGCAGTCACTGTAACAAACACCTTCGATCCGTTCGCGCCAGCTCCTACTGGCCCTGCGGCGGCACCTCAAACAACAATGTTTGCCGCATTTGAAAATGCTGCTCATGCACCCCAGCCGCGTTTTGATGCGTTCGGCCTCGCACAGTCGCAACAGCCGCAACAGCATCAAATACAACAGCTACAACAGCAACAGCAACAGCAAATGCAACTGAAGCAACAGCAGCAGCAGCAGCAACAACACCAACAACAGCAACATCAACATCAACAGCAAATGCAACTGAAGCAACAGCAGCAACAGCAACAACAACAACAACAACAATCTTCATTTACTACTTTCGGAAACGTCGCTACTCCTGCTCAAGGAAGTTTTCAACCGTTTGCTGCTTTTTCTAATCCACCAGTTCAGAATAGTTACAATGCATTTGGGCAGCAAACTAACACTGTGCCCCCCCCACCGGCTGCATTTAATCAACAGCAGTTCGGACAACTTGGAAGTATGCAGGGTGGAATGCAGGGCGGTATGCAAAGCACGATGCAGCAGCAGCCCATGCATAGTGGCATGATCATGCAAGGTCGAACAGCTTCTAATTCTGGTACAAGTCAGCCGCCAACAATTGTGGAACAAAAGAAGAGTAATGATGCGTGGGGAGCTGGCTCTTCGCTGTTTAATCTCAACAATCTAGGGAGTACCACCAGCACCAATTCTGGTAATGGCAGTCGTCTCGGCCAGCAGCAATCCATTGTAGGTCACAACAGCTTTAGCGGCTTAGACACTCTTGCTGGTATGCCAAGCAAATCTGTGATGGGAGGATCAGGTGGTGTGGACCCTATGGGTGGCATGAATTACGGCGGTAGCATGAATTACGGCGGTGGCATGACCATGAATTCCCGTGGAATGCAGCAACAGTCTACTGGTCAGATGCCGGTGGGAGGCATGGGTATGGGTAGCATGCAGCCTCTACAAATGACGGGAGGTATGGGCATGCATCAAGGAGTAGGAATGCAGCCAGGAATCGGTATGCAGCCAGGAATCGGTATGCAGCCAGGAATCGGTATGCAGCCAGGAATAGGCATGATCAATCAGGGAAGTATCGGAGGTATCCAGCAACAGCAACAGCGACAGCAGCAGGCTTTTAACCAGTTTAGCAAATTTAGCTGAAATGTCATGCAGTCCTCCTGGGGTGTTTATAAAATCTAATTCAACAAGGATCTCCAGCATGATTATAAGCTGAATATGGGAGGAGTAAGTTGACGCCCACTGTCTTAAAAAGCTCGACAAATGATCTCAACATTAGAACGTTTAGTAATGCCCCGTGCAATATATTGGTACGGCCAAGATATTCTATTTTCTGAAACGGTAATTGATTTAAAGCATTATCCTTAGTGTCGAATCTCAATTTTTTCGAAAACTACGGTGAAAATAACTGAGAAAACATGAACGCATTGGTCACTTTATACTTTACTCACACTACGAAGCCTTCTTCTCATAACACTACGACCTTGTTCTTCATTAGCCGCGCTACACATTATACAGTCTGGGGAAATCTTTGTTGTGCAAGGAAGCCTACACCATCTTCACAATTACCGTAGCCCGTTAAAAATGTAATCCATCGTATTAAGAAATCACTTAGATCCTCATGAACACGCAGAGAGATGACCATATTTATTCGCGTACAAAGCGTTCTGGGGCGACTGGGGCGACTGGGGCTGGGTTGTACATCCTGGTGCATCCTCCATCTCTTGGTCCTGATCAAGTCTCTTTCTGGCCACAAACTTCTGGTAAAGTTCCCCACTGGCGCTACTACTACGCGACAGCTTCCCCGCTGTCGTAGCCAGTATGTTGATCTGACTTGATGTTTTCTTCAAACTCGCTCTTTGTTCATCCTCTCCATCTGTTTTGCGTTTCCGAAGACCCTCAGGATACTTGTTCAAGATACTAAAAGGGGACATGTTGCGTAGATGTCTAGGTATGGATAATTGAGCTTGCGCCCTTCTCCGATGACCTCGTACAGGAGGCGGTGAATGCACAGCGTGACTGTCTTCAACGTCCTCCATGGCAGTAACTTCCACGTTAACTGAATTGATAGTGCGATCCTCTATATCTTCTCGACTGCTTTCTCCCTGTCGTCTTGAATGCTGTTGGTGCTTGAATTGCTTGCGTAAGACGTCGCGCGGCTGCGGGGACGAAGGAGGCGTATTAGGACGATCTGTAGGTAGTAGCGGAAACACTTTAAAGTGCTCCTTAAGAGTCCCGCTGGAGCGCCCACCACATTTCCCTTCGCTATCTTTTTGCACGCCTCTTCCATCCACGACGTGGAGACGCCCTACAGCGATGCGGGTGAGCTTCTCGCGTAGCAAGATCATGTCTTCGTGGTCACTCACGAGCGAGTTGCGGCGAAGTGTTGCGTTAATGTTGTTGGAGGTCATCGAGCTGCTTTTACCGCAAAATATCGGACTGGATGGTGCGGCCATCATAACTGCGGGAGGTAGAACACAGGGAAATTTGCACTCTTTGAGTGTAATCGAGTACCTGCAAAGAGCCGCTCGACGTCGATTTCTTCCGCCGAATATGCAAATTAAGGTGCTGTATGGTGTGAACTAAATTTTGTGCAACATCAAACCCGGGTCTGGCCTAATTATCAGATAAACTGATGGATTTTTATCGTCTTCGTTTTGCCTCTAATTTGACCTTCAAGTAAATAAAAGTTGCTCAACGACATCCCTCTTCTTTACGTTGAGCGATTCGAAACTGCGTGCCGCATTGCTAAACTACTCGAAATGGTTCCATGAGTAAAATCTGCGTAAATTGAGGCTTAGCAAACATGCAGTAAGGAGAGTGCTCTTCTGTAATATTTGATAGAGCTGTCGGTAAGGAGAGTGCTCTTCTGTAATATTTGATAGAGCTGTCGATAAAATAGGGTCTTGTAATCGTAGATCCATCTTGAGGACTTAATCGCAAAGGAAGTCAAGAAAACGGTCGAAACTGACAGAGACAATTGTCTAATACTATAATTGATCTGCTGACAATCTTTCCACACGGCAAGCATGGATCCATATAAGACAGCTCGATTTGAAACCTCTTGCTGAGGTCTAAAGAAAAAAACAAATTGCCTAACCGCAACGTTACCAACAGGAAATTTTGCTGAACGTACATTTTTTAAGCAATGCGCCGTTCTTAACGTGAATTTGAAAAGAATGCTCTTAAAATGTTAATAGAAAAATACTTGAAGTAAATAATGGGAGAATAAAAAAAATGCCCCAACTTTTGCCATATATAAAAAAAATATCCCAACTTTTCAAAAAATAAAAAATACCCCAGCACGTAAATTATCACCGGGGAGCCGTAATATTACACAACAGAATGTATTGTATTAGGAATGAATTAGCATAATTTAACAAAATACCCCCACAATAACAAAGTATACATTAATATGCAATAACCATTCAGTTTACTATTAACCAAGTAAAGCTAAATTAAGGAATACGTGACTTCTAACCAGTACCCACATTAGCTCAGATGGTAGAGCGCTTGCAAAATACAAGCAAAGGTCCTTGGATC